TCACAAGTCACACACGAGAAACTAGGCCATGGGTCACTTCGGTGTCAAGAGAGGCGGTAAGGTAAGTGCCAAGGTGAACACGCCTGGAGGTTAGCCATTCCAAGGCGGAACGTAGCGACAGTGACACAACCTAAACAGTGATCCTTGTATGACTCGTAAGAGTTAAGAGGTAAACGGTACTCGCATTCAAATAAATAGTAATAAATAAATAAATGCATGAATGAATCAGTAAGAAATGAAAACTACTCGTTCGCAGTAAATTTCGGATTTCATCGATGTTCTCTCATGATCTAGTCTCCTTAGAATACTTGTGTTCGAAGTCTTTGAGCTGGACTACTAAAATCACAACCTGCAAATCTGTCAGTAAACCTCTTCAAACGCGCAGGAGAACAGTGTCACAACAAAAACACACACGATTCGAATTGCCACATAACACACGATTCAAATTGCCAACAATAACACACGATTCAAATTTGCCACATAACACACAAATTCGAATCGCCTCGCACAAAAAGATTCAAATCGCCACACAACACGTTTGAATCGACAAATTCCACACGTCGAATTGACAAATTCCACGGGGATGGGAACTGACACTTACCACGGCATTCGAAGTGTTCATGCCATGTCTTGTAAGCTTAGATGATGACTAGAGCTTGTTAGAGAGCTTACGAAAGGCGTTCGCGGCAGCTGGCGCTGCTGCCGGCGGGGTGAGTCTTGAGTGTTGTGCTGCTTGTCCCCAGACCGGAGTTCCCGTGGGTGCGCGCGGGCGGGTGACGACGTGGGCGCATGCAGCACGAGGAGGCGGTGCTGGACTGCCGCCCAACAACGCAGCCTGCACGTGAGCGCTCAACACTATAGACGAGGAGGTAGGCGCCGCACCCCTCCCGCGTCCTTCTCCGCCAATCTGCGTATTATCGGCCAGGGCGCTTCCCACGGCGCGACCTGCGGCGCGCTTCCTCACGCAGCAGAGCCCTTCCGACGCAGCCACGGCCGCCCCGCCGCCTGCCGTGGAAGGGGGTGGGGTCTGAGGGGTAGGTTTCGCCGACCATCCGGCGACGACGAACAAGGGGACCGGAGCAGGTAGAACGCTGCGGCCGTGGCGCAGTGGGAAGGCGCCCATTTAAAGCTGTGTTTCTGCTAGCGGTGGCGCGTGCCCCCTCCTGGGCTTCGCGTAGCTGGAGTTCGGCGTCGGCTGCCGCAGCAGCCGCCACCCGCTGCACGTGGGAAGGCCTCCATTCAAACCAATGCTCTGCTACGCGCCGCGCTGCTGCGAAGCGGCGCGCGGTGGCGCGTGGGAAGGGCCCTTAGGGAGCTCAGGTCATCAACTGACGTTTCTGCAGAGCCTCTGACTGGGAGGACCTGGGTTTATGTCCGGACGGTGGCAGAATTTTCGACGCTAGCCAGACAGCTAGGATGAGTTCAGCTGAGTCTGGACGGAGAGGTCTAGCGGTCGGTTGCTCTGATCGGTTGTTTTCGTTCCAATCACAATAGGCGAATGCCGCAGAGTACCTTAAGAAACGGATCACGGACCGCGCGCAATTTTTCCTTCTTCTGCTTGTCCTATCATCCTTACTTTACACACTGACATATTCTGCACTACAAACACCTGTCACGAGCTTAGCGTTGTCCAGCTGGAGCAGTGCCGCGCTGGTGGGACGATATTACCTTTCCACGTAAAATGCTAATCCCAATAGTTTATATTAAAGGGAATATTAATTACAATTACAACACGCTATTTTAAATGAGTAAGTATTTATACCGACGTGTGAAAATCACATTTATACGTACGTGCCTCTAAGTAATCATACGTACACCAGGTGATAAGAGCGAAGGCCTCCGCGCGGCCGAGTCACTATTTACTAGCTGTCCGGGTGACGCCGCGTCCATGGCGAAGGTGCCGACGTTTCGGTCGCCATCTGCGATGCCTAGGACGCTTACGTCCTGAGGAAGGTCGCAGAATGGCGATCGAAACACGACACCTTCGCCATGGACGCGGCGTCACCCGGACAGCCTAGTAAATACCTAAGTGATGAATATTTAATTTTCAAAAATATCGTTGAAAAATATGCCCCTTAAATGTATCTTTTTCATGTTTCTACCCAGTAAAAGTTTTGTATAGTCGTTTTTTCGTAATATCTGGGTATATATGTCTCCAAACCTAATCTTTCTTAGGCCCATAAAATGTATTTATTGGAAATGTCTGCTTATCATGAAATGTTTAATTTAATATCGAAAAAAAGATATGACTTCAGACAGAGAAGGAAGAATAAGTCGTGAGTCACAAGCGACAGATATTTCCTTGTCGAGATGGTGTCAATTTACGAATAAAATCATCTCAGCACATCATTCAGGAATGCGTGACCGTTCATTTTTATTTCAAACTCTCTGTCTTTCGTTTTTTTCCGTATTCTTCTTTACCTCCACCCCTTCTTTCTTCTCTTTCACCTCGTTCTTTCTTTCATTGATCTTTTTCTCGTCGTTCTCCTCCTCCTTCTACATTGCCTTCTTTTCTTCCTCCTCCTTCTCTTGTTTGGCCAGGATTAGACATATGCACCGTTTACTCAAGAACTTTTAACTGCCCGACAGTCAGCTAGTCAGTCGCCGTGATCTGCGTCTTCAAAGAGGCTAGGCTTGTGGGAGCAGCCTAGATGTGTTGATGCCGCAAGCGCGCTATTACTTTGAAATACTGAACGTACAGTGATCCCATTCCTACTTCTTACCCTCTATGCAAAGACTGAGTTAGCTCAGAGCAACTACTGCTGTCTATGACATTGAGGTCTTGGGTTTCGAGTCCCAAAGGTGGCGGATTTTCGACACTAATTAAGTATCTGTGTCGAATTCGACCCATGTCTGGAGAAAACGTATAGCGGCCGTCTACCCTGGTATTTCTTTATTCTGCAGGGCATACAAGGCGTATGTCGGAGTAGAACCCTGACAAAAAGGTTACGGACTGATTGCGATCTTGCCTTCTCTCCTTGTCTCCTTTTCTCCCATTATTCTAGTGCGTACTCTTGTATACTCTCAAGAGACCAACTGGAAACTTACAGGTTGTCCCAACTGAGGCTGTGCCTCGCTGGCGGAGTGACCTGGAGAGGGAAACCCAACAATTCCGGATCTTATGTTAGAGCTAACGAGGAATCTATCGGGATATAACATACACTACACTTAAGAGTATAATTACTATAACAATTGATACTCACGGAAATTTAAATAATCAAATCACCAATCAATCAACAGGGTGGTACGTTCTGGAAATAACGGGAAACGGAAAAATCATGAAAGTTCATTACTCTGGAAAAATCAGAAAATTTGTAGAAGAATCATTAGAAGTCAGAGAAAATATAAAGATGGTTTTAAAACTTAGATATTATTCCTTAAAAATATTACCACTGCGTTATTTTTTATTCAGTTTTCATTTGTTTGAAAATATTGTCCTATATTTTGACACGATGAAATCAGAGAGTTGTCAAATTAGTAACAGGTTAGCTTTAACATTTTTTGATTTGATTTTCTAAAGACTGTCATTAACAATTCGGTTTGATATTTAATGTTCCGTATTTCATAGACAGCCAAATAAACTTGAGATAATTTTAATCACATAACTATCACTATCACATTAATGAAGGAAAGTGTCTGATTATTTTGATGACCTGATGTGTCTGATTTTAAATGATCTCGTTTATTTTGCTGTATTTAAAATACTGAAAATTAAATATTTGTCATTTTCTTTAAGTGGTTCGAAATTAGAAATCTTTTGAGAAAAAAATTGAAACAAAATGCACGGGAAGACCGGGAAAGACGAGGGAAAAGTGTTCCAGGAAATGAGCCCCCCCCGAATCAATACCCCCGCTGGGCGGCGTCTGCCGTGCATCTGCCGTGCGTCTGCGGGGGCGCCCGGTTGAGCGCGCGCTGTGCCTTAGGTGCCCATGGGGCTGAACGAGGAGCGGGGCTGGACGGCGCGCTGGTCGCCGATGCGGGGCTTCACGCTGGACCCCATCAACATGCGCGACGCCGGCGTCTTCTTCTGCGAGGTCGTGCCGAGCGCCGAGGACGACCTCAAGCTGATGGTGATGGTGAACGTGCTGCGTAGGTAGACGCTGCGCGGTGGGACCCGCGGCGCGGCTTTCTGCTGGGCCCCGAGCTCACGGCGCGCTTCGGCGACGTCTCGGGCACCTACACGTGCGTGGCCGAGGGCGGAGGAGGGCGAGGCGGACGGGCGGAGGCGGCGAGAGAGCTGCTGGTGTTGCTGCTGGTGTCGCGTAAGTCGGGCGGCGGTTCCTCTCACCTCCCCACCCCCTCACCCGCCACCCAACACCTGTTGCTGCTGATGCGCGTGGCGCATGTGCCTCCTCACTCACCCTGCACGGATCTTGCGCTGCTCTCTACTCACTCACACCCGCGTGCGGTTTCCGGGGATTCCCCGCGTTCTCGGATAATGGTGGGGAATCGGTCTTCTGAATGGGTGCTGAGGCTTCTGCTGTCCGGGTCTTTTGGCTCTTGACCGTACCGTTTCGAGAACAACTAGAGCGAATGGATAAATATAACACAATGCATAATGGGCGGTGACACAGAAGTGTTGTACAAGTTAAAGTAGTTGGGTTGAGTTAGCTGGACAAAACAATCTTCAAATTATTACGCCCCTCTCGACGCGATACACCCGCGTATTTCCAAGTCCACTGCGAGTCTCAGGCCTTCGAACTCCGCAATAAACATGAAACATATGAGAGTCCGCACATCGCAAAATTTCCAGTGTATTAGACTCTAACAATATATACAGTTTTACTTAACTCGCTTGACTACTACTTAAGTTCATTTCTTTTTAATTGAATATGGGGATCCCATACGTGTTCCATTCATCCAAATGTGATCGAATAAAAGACACTAGCGGTTATTTGTATGTGCAGATGTACTCGTTCATCTCAGATGTTTTTGTTATTATCTGCTCCTTTATCAGTATTCCATCTCGTTTCTAACAGAGTTTCGAATTCACCGATAAAACGAGATATTCAATGCACTAAAGAATTAAAGACGCATTTCTCGCAAACAGTTTCTTAGATGTGCTTATTTTATGAATATTGTAAAAAAACAGTATTTTGTTGTCGAATGAACAACTTAGTATGTTCACAGTATGGCTAATGGTCTAGATAAGTGATAAGTTTTTCGTTGCCAGAATCTGAGTGTATATTTGTAAGAAATACATTGCGACATGTAGCCAACAATTTTATTTTAAGCACGTTCAAGGTATTTAATTCTTCAAACAATGCAAATGTCGAGTTTTTTTTAAGTCGACGTGTAGATCCAGGTCGGATCTCACTATCCAGCGTGAAGTGATCACAGACTCCTCCCCCACAGTAAAAAAAACACTACACTTACGGGACTAGTGAACTTAACAATTGACGCTCCCGAAAACACTAATCAACCATTCGAGTATGTTTTGTGTAATATGTCCCGAATAATGTAGCCCGAGTATAAAGCAGCTTGCGGAATTCCCTCAAACGACTCCTGCGTAAAACTATAGTTACTTCGTACAAATATCATCTCATTCCTTATGTTTCAAGTTGTCCATTTTGAATGTAATGCTGTAAACACTATTTGGCCATTAATGACATTGAAAGCTCCTGTAATTGCTTATTAATTTTAAATAGAACTCTTTCGAAGTAAGTATTTCAACGCCAGCTTGTAGATTTCCTACTGCGCTCTCTTGGATGGATCTCTGGTTCGAGGCCTGATGTGTAGATTGCCATATTTGGAACGTTTAGACTGCTTTCTCTCTTGCATTTGAACGCCGTCTGAAGCCGGTGTGTTCCAGAACTGCAAGTTGCTAGCCCCGCTACATAAGTCTCTAACTCGCCACTAACCCATTAGCAAATTAGCGGAATGAACGCATAGTTTAGATGAACTAACATTGTTCTGCGTGAAGGCAATTGTAACATTATTGTGGTAATTTGAATTTATCGGAGTTATAATTCAATTTATCATTGTCTTCTGTTTTTATAGCTTCAAATATAATAAATATTGCAAGTCTTGTATAAACAGAGAATCGTGCACGTTAAAATAATTCAATAAAATGTAAAATACTTTTTTTATTATATTTTCCTTGTATTTAATAAGTGAAAACTACTAATGTTTTTTCTGCAATAATGAACAAAATAATTCTACAGACGCATAATTGGTGATTTTGAGAAGGAAGGAATGTCAGCTATACGAGTAAGTAATGAAACATATTTATTATAACTTCAGTTGAAATTCATTTTACATTGTTGAAAAATTGTACGATTTCTTTCAGACCACATAAGTTCCTGACTAATAACTCGTAGGACAGATTCGTTTACCAGTTACCAGTTATGTGATTTGTTGTGTTCTGTAAATTTCGTTTCTACTATATTTTCCGCTTTCGTTTGAGATTCCATTGAAGTGGTCTAGATAACCTATCAACAGAAATTAACTCTGAGATATGAAGGAAGATCGAACACTTCTGATGAAGTGTTCATTATAAACGGTAAAGAAAATGTTCATTTACAAATGTGTTCTGAATGAACGATAACGCAAAACTTGTTGCCATGTAATTCAGAGGAACCATTCGGCATAGTAAAGAATAGTAAAGTAAATGTAAACATCAACATAAGATGTAAATGCCAACGGGAAACCACCTCATTCATGACTCCAGATTTCGTGGGCAGTAAGGCCGATGCAGTTTTATAATAGCATTGCTTTGGAAACATTTACCATGATCGCGTCCACTTTACTGCCGGTCGATTATGCACAATATGCACCGAGTGTACTGTATCTATGCAATTTTATTTCGAAACATGACTGTCTGATTTTTACTATATCGACGTTACTTCATTAGAAAATAAAGTATTGTATCGTGCGTCAGAAAACGGCGAGTTTTAGACAAAAAAAAACCTTTTTCGAGCCTTGGCAACTGAAAATTGGATAAATCTTATTGTAAAATGTATGTTATCTTACTTCATCTACACGTTGTGTAATAGAATCCGTTTTGTGAGTCCTTGATACAGAAAAGTCGATTGGCGGCAAAACGTCCGTCCGTCCGCCTAAACCGTTCAGCTGATTTTCTCCAAAATTGATATTCTCAAGTCGATTTAAATGAACTCGGGGACCTCTGACTTTCAACCAATTATTTTGATTTTTGGGGGTACTTTACATGAAGCCTCAAACAAATTTTCGAGACTTTCTCAAATTTTCTCAAAAATGTCTCCAAACTTTTCGATTAAACTTTGCTCTCGGCCAGCGTAGCTCTCGGTCAGCGTAGTTTAGCTTAAGAGAATGGTGCTGATATCATTTTTGTTGAAATCTCGGATTTTCTTAAAACTATAATGTCGTAGATAAAGATTTTATCTAAAAGAAATCTGTCAAGACTTCATGAAATACAGTTATATACACTTCTTGGAAAATATGAGTTTTTTGCAGAATTTTGCATGAAATACAGGCAATATTTAAATATATAAAAAACATTTTTCTCAAACTTTTCCAAATTTTTTGTTTACATTTCGTATGTATCAAAGAACGCTGTAAAAAGAGATGCTAGTATCATTTCCGGAAGACTATTTTCGAAAATTGCAAAAAGTTCACATGTCAAAACTACATAATTGAAGAAGATATTTGGCTTGAAACAAAATTTGTTTTAAACAATCAGTGTGTTAAAAAATGCCATGTAGCATTTCGTGAAAGATCGAGTTGTTTTTTCCTAATTTGGTATTGAAATTAATGTAATTTGTAAAAAAAATTCTCAAAAATTACTTTAATTTTTTTCTTCTAATTTTCGTCACAAATAGTACAAGGAACGCTTAAAACAGTAACGCAGGCATCATTTCCGTTGATCTGTCTGAATTTTTGAAAATTACAAATTTAGAAATAAAGAAAGAAGATGTGCTATTATAGCACCATTAGTTACATTTATATCCAATGAGAGTCGTATTTTTATATTTATGTTGTGGCATATATTTACGTCCTTACATCTCGGAAGATTTCATTGCGAATGAACCTTAGAGTCGAGATACACACTTCCTCTAAACGAAGTATTCCGCAGTTTTAGCGAATGCTTGAGTGCGCAGTATGACTTCTGGAACACAAATCGACACTGCGCATGCGCACGTTCGCTACGACTCCGGCCTCGTTCGTGCACGTGTGTAAGTGGGGCCTTCAGCATTGACGGGAGTGAGCGCAAGGCCGAGTGCGTGAGGGCGCTGACCGAAGTGCGTCGGCGCAGCGCAGTTCCAGCAGCGACGGCGCCCTCTGCGCTCGTCAGCGCAAGCGCTGCGCCCGCATGCGCACCCCCTCCATAACCCCCCCACACCCACTCCAGCCCCTGCCCCGCGCCCCGTCAGGACGCACTCTGTTGCACGGAGCACCTGTGCTTCATGTGTCGTGTGATAACCAACGCCGCCGCCCGCATGCGCCACCTCTGCCCACCGCGCCTCGCGCACCCCTGCCCCCCTCTTCGCACACCCCCTCCGACTTCCTCTTCCTGTTTCCCATTCTCGCCCCCCCCTACCCGCCCCACTCGCGACAGTCGGAACAGTGGGTATCTTTTGTAACCAGGGTTTTCTCTTGCACCATTGCGACACAGTACTTAAGTTTCCCTCCGAAGGCAGATCCAGAAAGTTTATCGAGAGGGAAGTGGGCGAACATATCAGTTCGGAAATCTTAAAAATATTTTTTGAATTGTTTGCCTGGAATAAAAAAATATTTTCATAGTAGGAATACTACTTCGAATGTAAAAATATCAATACACGGTAATTGTTTTGAAGAAAAATTAAGTAATATCACTCAAAAAGTGGCTTGTCATGACTTCCTAACTCTACGCCAGCCCCGTGTTGGATCCGTTGCTATCGCGTCCCCGGAGGCTTTCGGTTATGGAATTTGTGGGTGGCTTGTTCCCTCTTCTCTTGTTTTGGGATTGGTTTTCTAATCAAATTTTCAACTCATCAAATTTTCACTCATCAAATTTTGTGCTCCGGTGGACGGCGCTTTGACAGAGCTATGCTCTTTTAGTTAATATTCATTTGTGATTGAATGTTTGTTATAATTTTTTGTAATATTCAATTTCTACTAATTTTTTCATGCGCGGACAATATAGCAGTTTTTATTTAAAACCGTAAATTTTGTATGGAGTACAAAAGATATCTCACATTCCACTTGTCGCTTCCCTGATCTTTTTGGTGGGAGAAAGAAGGGCAGAGGATGAACTTGAGATTTCTTCTCCTTCACTCATCCTAACAATAATACTAATACATCTATTTTCTATTCTTAATTTCTCATTGAAACTACTGTGAACTCTGTAATAACAGATCTTCGGCATGTGTTCTCTTTCATACATGTTGGTTTCTTATAATATGTTTATGTATTTCTCTTTGTTTCAATCTTTTACTTTGATCTTGGTGACGGCTATGATGGGAAATATTTATTTGCTTATTTTAAATGCTTATGTGTTATGTCTGCAAGTGAGAGGTGGAAAATGTAAAATTTGAAATATTTTGTTTCCAAGAACTAGCTTTAATTAAGAGCTTCGGAATGTTTTTGCTTAGTATTGCTCGAACAAATATTAGGCAACATTTAACGTGTAAAATAATACAAATGCACACTAGAAGCGAATTGAATTTAATTTTCAGCATTAATATTCGATTAAAAGTTAACTTTGAAATTTAATTGAATGTGAAATGTGGCATGATTCTTCAATTACGTTTATTTCAAAATATGTTTTTATTTGATTGTTATGTATATAACACTTCGTTTTATGACAATGTTTACTCTTATTCTCGTCGAAATCACGATTCATAAAAGCAAATTAATAAAAAAATACAACAAAAACACGTTAAACAACATAGTATGAAAATCCAATTTGTATGTGACTTAAAAATTCTGTAATCTCTTGAAAGTCCTAACGTGGCTAGGACCTAAGTGGAAAATCATAAGGTGGCTGAGAAAGAGTCAGCTATTTAATCGATGAAGAACATCATTAGGTTTTTGGATTTAAGTGATGATTTTGTAGACAAGTAGTAAGTTTTTGCGTATGGAAAACTATTAATCTTATAATAAATGTTTTTGTGTGCTTATGTGAGATAGGGGATAGGAGATTTGTGTGTTCAAGGGAGTTAGACTGGATAATTTATGATTGAGCTCTGTATCTATAGTCGATCATTATTTTCTTGAGAACTCGTTGGGGGGGGGGGTTAAAGGACCTAGTATTGGAGTATTCTCGAGCTGAATGTTCACATTCAGGTGGTACAGGATAAGGAAATATCCCAATGAAATTTAGTGGAAAGCTTTAACTCTTTTGCTTCTCTGAAAGAATGAGATCACTAGGTAGTGGAATTGCAGTTTCAGAAAGACATATTTAAGATGTAGTGTTCGTTCCCTTAATCATTACATTTTCAACATGCGGAGTAATTCTCAAAGAACAGGATGACCCATCGCAAAGACTTCATTCTAACTTCTTTGAAGAAAGACATTTATGTGTTTGTACAATTTTTGGTTTTGTTGCTCTTAGGTTATGCGAAGGCAGCTTAATATAATACAAATTGGACAAGGTTTAACAACGATTCCATCCATGGAAGGAAGTGTGTGCAAAATATTTGAAAAAATACATTTAATAGTGATTATGAAATAAAGGACACTTTCAAAATACCATTTTACAATCAATCTGCACCCTTAAACATTAATTATCGTCTTTCAAAGAAAGGTAGGAAAAGCAAAGAATTTCATCAAATTCACTCCCTCCTCTTTGGCAGGCGATATTCTTGGATGTGCCTGCAACATCCACAATATTAGTTTTCTGAATATCGAGACATCACTGGAATTGGTCATGTAGGTGGGTTGAAGAGAAGTTGACGGCATAAGGTTATATCTGAGCGACCTCCCTTCCTTATTGGGCGCTCTCGGCAAGTGAGGCCCCTGTTTGGTCAAGGACCCCAAGGTAGGTTGGGTCCTTTCAAACGCTGGGGTCTATCTTTGAGACGATGGGCTCTGAGATTCGGTAGGGGTTCCATGGGGGAACGTGGGGGTTCGGTTGGGCTTCGGTAGGGCTTCGGTGTAGATGCGCGTAGCGGTTTTAGTATATCTTACGAGGATACGATTTGGGAGAGGTTACGAGGCCTATGCGAAAATAGATGTGAAGTAGTTGCTTTTAATGCTTTAACTTGGAAAGCTTCTCAAGTGGTGACGGTGACGGTGATGGTGAGGGTTGCGGTTTGGTGGAGGTCGAAGTGGATAGGGCACGGAATGGTTGCCCGTAACGGTTTGGATTCAGCGAGGGACAGAGGTGTAGTGACTGCGCGTTAAGGGTTGCGCTGGTGCTGGCCGTAGCGCGGAGCACCAACCTGGCGCCGCCGAGGGTGCACCCCGTCAACGCCTTGCCGCACGCCGTGCTGGGCAAGGACATGGAGCTGCAGTGCTACGCGACCGTCATGGCCCACGTGCTCTTCTCCATGGAGTGGCTGGTGCCGGCCAACTCCACGGCCAAGGAGGAGGGCCGCCTAAACGCCACCAACGCCACCGTGCACTTCGATGCCATGGGCTCGCGCATCGGCTCCACCAACCTCACCATCGTCAACGTCACCGAGAACGACGCCGGGGCCTACACCTGCCTCCTCAACGACCACTCCAAGAAGGCGGCCAACACCACTTTTGTCTTGGAGGTCAGGGGTGAGTGAGCATTTGTAATTGTTTGTTTCTCAATGTTCTGCCGCCGAGACAATTCCCAAGTGTACAAGAAAAAATGTATTTATTCATCTAGCATTCAATCGCTCGCCTCAGTTCTACTATACCTACCTCACTCCACGCTTCCTAACACATTCTCTCTCTCGACCCACATGCTCACACACATTTCCTGGTTCAGACGTTCCCTCGCTTTCTACGTTCCCCTCGCTTTCCACGTTCCCCTCGCTTTCCACGTTCCCCTCGCTTTCCACGTTCCCCTCGCTCACACGTTCCATCGCTCACACACTTTTCTCGTGCATTCCAATGCAACGGCGCGCCTCTTGTGCAGACGCGAACGTGTCCTTCATCGACGTGAACATCCCGTCGCCGGAGGCGCTGCACCAGCGCGTGGGCCTGCTGCAGACGGCCACCTGGACGCTGGAGGTGGTGACGTACCCGACGTCGCCCACCATCTCGTGGTTCACCCCCGCCGGCAGCCCGCTGACGGCCGTGAGCGCCGCCAAGTTCCAGCTGCGCAAGCTGGAGCGCGGCAAGGGCTTGGAGCTGACGCTGTCTGTGCTGGACGTGGAGCTGTCGGACCGCGGCACGTACGCGCTCAAGATCAACACGGGCGCGGAGGAGAAGACGGTGAACCTGACGCTGACGGTGCGGGCGGCGCCGCTGGTGCAGCTGCAGGCCCCGCCCGAGCCCTGGCCCCTGGGCGCCACGCGCAAGGTCTCCTGCACCGCCATCGGCTCGCCGCTGCCCACTGTGCAGTGGGCGTGGCACCCGTGCCCCGGCCTGCTGCGCAACTGCGCGCCCGACGACGCCAGCTTTAAGACGGTCTGGGTAAGCATTCCTTCGTCATTCGAATCCCTCTATTGTGTAGAACCCTCTATCACGGCTAATTCCAATATTATGTCTAATCCGAATATCACCCTCGATCCTTCTATCACGTCTCCTTTCACGTCGAATATATCACTTCTAATCCCTCTGCCACTTCTAATCCCTCTGTCACTTCTAATCCCTCTGCCACTTCTAATTCCTTTATCACTTCTAATCCTTTTATCACTTCTAATTCTTTTATCACTTCTAATCCCTTTATTTCTTCTAATCCTACTAATGTCATGTCTGCTTTAAAAAAGGACATGGATAATAGTTTAATGAGGTTTACTGTATTTTCGAAATTACAGATTTGAATTTCCTTCTTTGTTTACTTGAATCTTTTAAGAGTTACCGGGTTGCATTGCAACAATGGGAACGCAGCGACACGACAGTTTGAAATTCTCAAAATAATTTATCAATTTTGGGCAGAGTTTGGGATGAATAAGACGGTGTTTAGGATTGGCGAATTTGTTTTCTCAAAACGTGTAAAAATTGTCGACACAAGATGCTTTAGTTACCAAAAAATGAAAATGCATACACATCGTAGCTTAGTAATGACGTTGTTTCAACGTGACATAAATCGAGCTGCAGCCAAGAATCACAAAAGCATTATATACGAGTATTATCTGTTCAAAAGAACTCTATTAATTTTTGTGTGTGGAATCGCCACCCTTTATTCAATCAAACAAAACGCATTTACACTAGGATATTTCAGTCAACGTTATGACATCATTTACCGTTATTACATCAAATACTTTACAGCAGTGGTATGGGGCAAAATGTCATTTTATCTACAATTTGCCCCATTCCTGAAATTACAAACGAAGTTCACGATTCTGTTCTTTTTTCGTTAATATTTAAAAAAATCAATGTGCTTAATTTATAATGAATCCAAAGGGTTATTTCTACTAACGCCTATATGAACAATTTAGTGACTAAGAATCAGTGCTAAGTCTCGCATTAAATTGAATAATGTTCCTGTGCGTTGTGTAACATATCATGTTATATAGTTATTAATAAATCAATGCGACTCGGTTGAGTTATACCAAAAAGGAAGTGATCCTTCATCAAACAAATATTGAAATCCACTGCTTTTGGGCCTTTGATTTATGCTCTATTGAAACTATAAATTATGAGAGCAAAAATATCACAAATATTGTGCGGGAAACTAGAGTCGCATGGAAATTTATCGAAGCGGGCTTGTGGGCTATTAATAGTGAACACTGTCCTCAACTTGAATTGGAGGTATGATGAGTTCTAATAAGCTTTGAGTTCTTGATTCCATATGCACACTCGCTGCAGAAGGTTCGCTGCTTCTTGACCGACCTTTTTGTTGAACTTTTGGAAATAATTGCAAGCTTCGTACTGTGCTCGTTGCTGATATGAGTTTTATTTCTCATCGCTTCTTTACTTTTCTTCACTATGTTATTTCATTGTATCCCTGTGTATCTGACTTGAATATTCTTTTCCACTTTACGCTCATACTTGAAGAATTACTACAGAGAAATGAGAATTACTACATATTATCCATGGAGTGCCCTAATCTAGGTGTTATCGAATCTGATTTCCAGTTCAAGAAAGAGAAGTGTGTTACGAGCTTCAAACGTTGTACGAAAACTAAAGCGGCGATTTATCAGTGATTCATGGGTAGATAACTGCGCATTTCACCTCCTATTTCCTTGGTATATTGATCAGTGTGATCCCTTGACCTCTGATTTTAGGACAAATGCCTATTTACTTCCTTGAGGAGATTCTGGGAAATAATTACAGGTGTTTATGAATCATGAAAAAATACATCTAGTGAAAGCATGTAATAGTGCTTCAAATGTTACAGGGGGGCCGCTGATGCGTATTTTATTCTTTTTACTATAAGCTGTCTCAAACAGTTGTTAATTTTGTAATTGTGAAAAGTAATTTGTAAAAAAGAAATTTTGTATAATTATGATATTTAATTTACTAATTTTTTTAAAACTTGTTTTACGGAAACGAAAATACTTTCCGATCGAATACGCAATCGGTTATGCAACCGAAATCTCCCGTCCAACACACCGAACACATGGACTCAGCAAGTCGATATAAACTACGCTCGCTAGGGATGTTTCACGCTCGTCTCCAATCTGCACGCACTTTTAAGCAATTACACCCATTCTCGGTTCAGTTGCGTTCTTGACAGGTTGACAATGAATAGAATGAAAGAAATGAAAAGAAATGAAAGTGAATAAAATAATATGCCTGTAGTCACTCTCACAAATGTAAAAATACTTGACTTTCATTATTAACAAAACTGCCTAATTTAATCCTTTTGTGATAGATTTAGATGCCAGAAACGTATCTTTTCATGTATAATGTTTTTAAATGTATAGTTAAGTATATTTGTTACGTATTGTAGGAGCCTAAAATGCCACTTTTCATGCCCAATAATGCCTTATTTCATAATTTTATTACGTATTTCAGGTGCCTAAATCATCACTTTTTTTGTGCCTAAACTTCCGAGGTGTAGTGATCGCTTGGCGCGTGGCTGTTCGCAGGCGCCGGTGACGACGCAGTCCGACGTGAAGGTCAACTCGACCCTGCAGCTGCGCGCCAACTCCTCTGGCTTCATCACCTGCCGCGCCGCCAACGAGCTCGATGACTCCGTCAACGACACCGTCAGCCTGCAGGTCACCGGTGAGCTACGCGTCCGTTGACTCAACGCAAGCTTTGTTCACGCCTCACCCATCGTGGCTGTAATGACACACACACACGTAGCGATGTTTCCAAAAATGCAATGGAACGTTGATAACTCGAACCACAAATACCTGAACATATCTGTATGTTCCTGTGTACATGTGTATATCTATATATGAATTCTTTTTCAAATAAATAACCAGCGGCGGTAAACCAATTGGAGATGGCGAGTGACCGACTAGAGTGGTTGTGTAAGGTTTACTACTGTATTAAGAATTTGGGACAAGTGGCTTTATTAATCCCAATGATCTGTAGTCGAAGCTCGAATGGAATTACTCGATAACTCGGCTTTTCTCTCGAAACGAGATCCACTACATAATGCAGATCAGTGGTAATGCTATTGAAACAAGTGTACTCAAATGAAAGTTCAAATACAATTTTTTTCGTAGTCTCGTTCTCCTCTGGGGATGGGCTCTCGTGCCATCTGCTCTCCGCAAGGGAGGGTAGCTGCTCGCCCTGGATGGCGGGTGCCTCAGACACAGCAGTTACTTTATTTCTGTTCGCCGTAGCTAGTGATTTCTTCCAGAAATAGAAGTCCAGCATAGCTCGCTCAGGGTATCAATTAATGTCACTGCAGTGCATCTGACAGGGAGGTCCTGTGGTTTGAGTCCCGACTGTGGCAGGATTTTCGACACTAGCGGGACAATTAGACGAATTCATCCGCTGTCTCTTGGAGAATGCCGGCTGCCGTGATTGGTAGTTTTCTACGGTTTCTCCGATGAATACCAGGCGAATGTGGGAGCAGTACCTCTAATAGGAGTACAGGACAGCGCGCGATCTTTCCTTCTTCCTTATTCTTTCTTCACCCTTATTTACACACACTTACACGAACTTACATTACACTATCACACTTGTCGGGAGACCAGTCGGTAGCTTAGAGCGTGTCCCGGCTGGGGATGTTCGGGGAAAATCCTCGCAAGGGACGATCACCCCCCACTCCGGGGGTGAATTGAATTGAATTGAATTGAATCAATGCCTTATTTTACGTGACGAGACTACTCTTCCGTCTGACCACGCAAATTTCGCTACGCTCCTTTCACCAGCTAGCAGAGAAAGGAGGTATTTCTTGGGTGGAAAACAGGCGATTTGAATTTAGCTTAGAGGCGTCATTTAGGCTTGAGGATCTTTTACATGCAAGTAAATCTACTGACATGGGACAGCCGGCTTTACTTCCCTCCGAAGGAAGGCGTACGATCGGGTTCGAACCCGCCAACTTGGGTACAACAGTCCGGTACACTAACCGTTACACCATCGCCGCGCGCGGGGTTAAACACGCACTACACTTACGACCATAGCAGTTTCCCGAAATCACTAATCGAACAGCCCCGAAAGGACAGAGCGTAGGCCTTTGGGGCTCGTGTGGGTGATGCGGTGCGTTGTGGTGTTCGCAGACATGCCGGGCGCGCGCACGCTGGAGGCGTGGGGGCCCGAGCCCGAGCCTGCGGTGGAGGGCGACGACCTCCGCCTGTGGTGCGGGGCGCTGCGCGAGAACCACACCGATTGGCCGCACTGGCGGCGCAGCGAGCTCTGGGACGACAAGCGTAAGTAGCGCTTTCAGCGCACGTGCTCCTGCGCTTACATGCATGGTCTACGTCAATGGTTCCGAGCGGGGTTCAGATCGACGCCCTGGGGGGGGGGGTGATGAACATTCAAGGAGCGTTAAATGTCAGTCAAGGGGTCGAAAGCAGAATATGCACCAACGTACGTAACTGAAACGTATTATCGAGAATCCTATAGTATGTATTATTATACCCAATTCGTTTCTTGTATCCGTACAATAATGTAGAAGATTATTATTAGGATATTATAGTATATATATAATATATATATATATATATATATATATATATAATAATATATTATATATATATATACATTATATTACCGTTTTCTCTACATTTAAAATCTTAAAAGGTGTAATAACACTTTTTTATGTTTGAAAAAATTTAAATTATAATTATACTAATTATACAAGTATAACAAAACTAATAAAGCATTTTAAGAAAATTGTATTCAAATTCTAATTGGTATCAAGTCATTTAGGTGCTATTATTTGATTTATGATACAGTTGTATTTTACAGAAAAAATCGAGGGGATCGATGAAGCACAGCATTATTTTAAGGGCGATCGATGTAAGAAAAATGTTGGGAATCCTCTGCCTATGTTCGCGGTGGGGGGAGGGTGCACGCGGGGCAATGCGCGTAGGGGTGTCTGCGCGCGGGGCGGTGCGCGTGGGGCGATGCTGAGTGCGGTGCGCGCGGGCGCAGGCTTCCAGATGACGCGCTCCAACACGTCGCTGTCGCTGCGCTCGCAGCTGCGCATCAACCCGGCGTCCGTGGCGGACTCGGGCTCCTACCTGTGCTTCCTGGACGAACTGGAGGAGACCACCGTCGAATACAAGCTCGACGTCAAGCGTAAGTCGTCCTGAGTTGCTCTGGCCCCGAGTTGGGGTAATTAATGTTGGAGCACAACGGATTCAAGGGTTCGGTTGCATGTTGCAGCACAACGGAACGTCTTCCCACGAGACGTCAACATGAACAACACAGTGTGGATGGCCAACACCAGGGACAAACTCACCCTACGCTGCAACTTCGATGGCTTGCCACGCCCCACGATCTCCTGGTTCAAGGTAAGATGTACTTGCTGCCCTGAACTTGTTTCGGTTAGTATTGTGTCTGGCTGGAGTAGACACATTGGGAATGAGAATTATTTTGTGTGAATTATGATAACAGGTTGTTAATTATTTGCGGTTCATATTCTCTATATAACTGAATAGAAATAAATGACACTAATTTATACGTAAGCTCAGTACACTAGATTCTCCAATATCCAAGGTATGTGGGACCGAGACTTCATTCGTTGCTAAAATGCTCCGATTTTGTTCTGTAAAGGACTGTAAATTGCCATGAAACGTGCTTATTTTTAGTATAATTTTTAACAAATTGTAACATTTAAAAGTACGCATTACAGTAATAATTAAATAGATATTCTATAAAAACGTAGACGAAAATAAACATATTTTAACAAGGAGAACAACGTAATAGTCCCCAAAAGTACCTGAATGCTCTGATGCCATAATTTCTTGCTTCTATCGACTTCGGCGGCGTTGCGCCAACTTCTCCTTCACCTTCCTGTTCGTGTTGCTCTTTCGCTTCGTCTCTGCCTTTCTCATTCCAACTGCATATCTCTCTCTCTCTCTCTCTCTCTCTCTCTCTCTGCTATCTATCTATCTATCTATCTATCTCTTTCTGTGTCCTTACGCTTACCGCCGCCCTTTTGTCCGGGTCGCACAGGACTCCGAGCCGTTCGCGCTGCCGCTGGGCGGGGAGCAGTTCCGCCTGCAGGACGGCAACAAGACGCTCGTCATCGGCTTCGTGACGGAGGCCGACCAGGGCGAGTACCGCTGCCGCGCCGCCAACCGCGTGCACTCGGAGGAGCGCTGGGTGCGCGTGCAGCTGCTCAGTACGTACCACCTCTCACGTCAACGCAAGTAGGCACTTAAATATGTCATGCTGGGTGGACACTTTCTGGAAAACATCGAAAACCGTGAAAAATCAGAGAATTTCATTGCTCTGAAAAAATCAGGGAGTTTCTTTTCTTTGGAAAAGTCAGAGAAAATGACGGAATTTGTAGAAGAATCGTTAGAAATCAGGGAAAATTCTGACACGGTTATATAAGTAGATTTTATGTCTTAAAAAATTTATTCAACAAAATAATAGTGAACACATTTTTATTATTTGAAATTTTTAAAATTTTTAATTTATCATGGTGAAATCAGAGCTGATAAATTAGTATTCCTTTAGTAGTTTTTTAAAATAGTATGTAATACTACATTCTTGGCTCTCCGGGACAACAACAAAAACATAAAAGAAAATAAATTTACGCAATTTGAAATTAATGCAATAATTGATTAAACCAGTTTTGAAAATAAAAATTGCTTTATCTTCTGAATTATTTTTTAATGTTTGAGAATGGGGAGAGACATTGTAAAAACGTGAAAACTCGATTAACTCGATGATTAGCAAACACTGTAGCATTATCATCGTAGTGTTACACATTTACGCCAACTAATATGCCGCAACATATATGCAGTGGAGACGGAAGTTAACCCACATAGAGCACGTGCATATGACCGTGTCTTCACATGAGGCATCGCATAGGACAGGAGTCCCGCTGTTGGTGGAGAGAGACTCCTAGATTTACTCTCATGTTTATTTTGAATTGAATAATTTCAACCCTTTTTTTGATGTCGGTCCCTTTCGGGGTCTGAGGGTTTTAGTATTCGGCGCTTTGCCTCCTGTTCCTGCGAGTGCCTCGCAGTCCATGGGTTCGCTTCTATTCGCAGATCGGAAGGGCATCACCGACGGAATGGTGGCGCTGATTGTGGTGCTGGTGGTGCTACTGTTGACTGTGGTTCCGCTCTTCCTCTTCGTCTACAAGGATTGGGTGAGTGAGAGCGAAGGTTACACATTCCGTATGATCAACGGAAAATAACTGCAGTTTTTTGTGGTTCGCCCATTTCAAAGTTGACTTGGTATAAAATCCCTCACCTTGTGACTAACATGTCTTTAGTCCAGTCAAGAATCGATGGCCATATGCACGCATTGAAACAAGTTGGTAATTTCAAGTAAGAAATATTAAATAATATTAACTAATTAAACAAATGATTTTGAACGTATCCGCTTCTGTACTTGTTTCACCGAACGATTTTTAAAATATCATCTTCAGTAATGCTTGTACTGTTTATTTGCACGAATAGTGCAATGCACATATTAAATGCTCATTATGCAATTACATCAAATTACGAATACATCCCGTAGTTTCGGAAAGTAGTTAATATTGGTTTAAAATGTTTTAATTAACGCCCGCAGCGCTCGTTAGCTGAAACATTATTGTCTGTCATTTACAAGATTTGACTTCGATAGATTACATTACAAATCTATAGTTATATGCGGATCGATACACTACACCTACTATGATTCGTGTGTCGGAATATGCAATTCGGGAGGCAGTAAAAAAATCGGTGAGAAAAATCGATAATGTTTTGAGATACACTGTCTTGATTAGTGCAACAAGATCTCGACCAAGGTCTCACTTCAGACGCGGGTGCTAGACCGAACTTCAACACGAGATAAATTATATTATAAATGTATGAAAAAACTGACTTTTTACCTGTTTTGTGTCTGTTTTTCTATCAATAACAGTTCAATCACACCCTCTCTTTTGATGTCATATTGAGGTTGTTTCATTCTAACGAAGCCTTGATAATAGGCTAATAATACACATTCGAAAGGTTAACAGTAAGAATATTATTTCATTTCTCTAACCCTAGTGAAAAACCATGTCATCGTGTCAAATTGTATTAATTAGATACTGTCAGTAATCTCAGAAAACAGCCTTGAGATCAAGAATGCCCATGAGAAGAGCCCGCGGAGCGAGTGGTCATTCAAAACGAGGGCGTGCTTCTCACTCGTCTCGTTCCATAAGGAAGGGCTCGACTTACGTTATAAGAGCGTTCTCGTGATGTGCACTTGACACGCCACAACGAGATTGCAGTGACATCGAAAGGAAACACGCACTTCGAGGCGTACGGCAACCAGATCCCGCAGACGAGCACCACCTCTTCATTCTGCTCGCCCAACCCAACAGTGACACTCGTAGGGTTTGTGGGAGTAGGGAAAGAGTAGAAACGTAATAATTTTAACTAACGAGAATAATTATTAAACTTAGGTCAGAAAATAAAAAAATAACTCTTAAATTGCTTTTGGATTTTATTGTTTTTCTCAGGGCCATAACACAAACACACAGTTTATATTGCAACCAAATTTAATCACCGACAATAATTCTATGTACAGTAGACTTGAACTCCTATTAAGAATCGAGGTCAAGAAACTAGCTTGCGTGATAATTTTAACAATGTTTATTTTTCTGAATTCCTTGTGTATGATGTTTCCCTATTTTAGCTGTAGCGAATTTTATAATTCCTGAATAATTACAGTCATAAGAATTATCACAACTTCTCATTGAGGGTTTTTTGCTATTGTAGTTTATGGGCTAACGAAGCTCTCGTACGTAAAGGTAAATCGAAACAAATTAATTGCACCAAACTGGTGTGAGTACGATTCTTTAATTCAAGATATTTCTTATTTTTATGAATTTTTGTAATTTCTTTGAAAGATTTTGAACGCTACTGACTGACAACAATAACAGCTACCAAATTTCAACAACGTTAGGCATTTTCTATGCATCCATTTCAATTCAACTAGTCGAATGTCAATAAATGTTTTGAGTTTGGATAATTGTCAAGTTAACTTTCAATTTTGACGTCTTTTTTAAACGACAATCTCATTCAAAGTTGTTTAAATTCACCGGCTGAGATGGTTCAGGGTGCATCATCTGCTGTTTCTGCAATGCCTCTGGGGTGGTTCGAGTAACGGCAGTGGTACGATTTTCGACACTAGACACATAGATAACTAGACCGAATTCAGCCGCTGTCGGAAGGAGAAACCAGCTACCCTGATCGGTGTTTGCTCTGGTCAACACAAGGTGAATACATGAGTTGCCGGTACCCTAACAAACCGGCCACGGACCGCGCGCGATCTTTCGTTCCTCTTCTTTGTCCTGTTCTCTTAACTTACACACACACACACACACACACTTACATGCACTACACTTTCATAAGTGCCAGGTGACCAGTAGGGAGCTTATAGCTTGTCGGGGCTGGGCGGAGCTCCGCTGGTAGAAGATACCTGGTTCAGGACCCCCCCCCACAAGCTGGCGTGTTGGTCAGCGCCGGATTTCATTACCCAACGAGGGAGGAACGCCGCCACCTCCCGGGATACAACATTCAGTACTCCGACGTGACAAATGACATTAACATTTGACGTGCCCAAAATCATCAATAATTCAATGAACAAAGTTTGCGTTGGGGTGATGTGCACTGTTACCCCTTCCCTCTACATTCACCTCTGGCCCTAGACTGATTTGTGTGTGTGTGTGTGTGTGTGTTTGTGCGCAGAAGCGGCGGCGCATGCTCATCTCCGGGCTGCACCACTTCGCCGAGGGCCAGCCCGACGTGCTGAACCCGGAGCTGCCGGCGGACGAGCAGGCCGAGCTGCTGCCCTACGACCGCAAGTGGGAGTTCCCCAGGGAGCGCCTCAAACTGGGTAATTGGCGTGCGAGCCGCGTGCTGGCACTGGGCGGGGTCGAGGGCGGGGGCGGTGTCTGTGGTGATGGTGATGGTGGTGGTGGTGGTAGTGGTGATTGTGATTGTTGTGGTTTCGAGGCCTGGCACTCGTCCTGCACCTCCTGAAATTAAAAAAAAGAAATAAAAAAAAACAAATGAAAAATGCGCTGAAACTAAAAAAAATAAATAGAAGATAAAATCAATTTAAAATAAAAAAGAACAGGAGAAAAAATGAAATAGAAAATAAACCTAATTACTAAAAATGAGGCTCAAAACTGGGTATCCCCCCCCCTCAAAAACGAAAAAAAAGTAGTTAGAGAAATATAATTCTTGTATAATGTATGGTTTTAAGAATGAGTGGATTTTATAAATTTGTAATACTCAGAACTGCAATTTGTAAAATCCGCTGGAGGCCGAATCTCAACAATTATTTAGTTGTTTCATTACTGGCTCTGTAAAACCCCTTAGTTTCAAAAGTGGTATTTTTCTTTATTACGAAATCAGCTAATTCTGAACCTTTTTAATTTTTTGGTTAAATGTGTAAAAATCATCTATTTTCTGAATGTGGCTAGTTTATTTATGAGAAATCAATAACACCTGAGATTAGCAGATTTGTGTAAGATTTTGTAATTGTAAAAATTGTTTTGGTCAGTTTCGAAACTCAGTCCTTTAAATAGTAAAGATCGGAATGATCTTTACCGTCGCATATACCCCAGCACAGGTTAGGTTTTGCTGTATATTTTGTAAAGGAGTTGCTCTTTCATTGTTTAGGACTTTTATTATTAGATTCTTAATGAACCCTAAGTTACTTTCGACAGTCATCCCTTATCGCAGGGTTTCAAATAATTTGATTTGGTCTTCATGCTTCCTAGAAACTCCGGCGTTCTCGTACAGTCAGACATGTCCATAAACGCATAGTTACTACATTTCGGTCTGTCATGCTCAGTCTATCGATGTAGAGAACAGTTGTGTGTTGAGGATTACGTAGTGAATGTTGCACTAGTTCTTGAAATAAAATTTTTAAAAAAAGCGAGGGCCCATGGGTCTCCCCAAAGTAAATACCAGAACTATAGAAATGATAAAAATATGTATGCCTTGGATACATCTCAATAAGTGAACATATTTCAATACTAACTCACAGAAAATTATTATGTAATTATTCCATAATATAGTAATGATAATAAAGTATTGTAAGATTCCTAAATTAATTAAGAATTATTTCTTAAACACTACATAAAATGTTCCTTCTGTTACTTTGCTATTCATTCCGAAGTTGGACATGGACCCCCCCCCCCCCCGCCGATACTTTGAATTATGTATGCGGCTGTTAGTGTTGAAAACATTCCTGATCATCATTTTGTATCGTATTATTGTTTATGTTTGTTTTCACGTGATATGCTATGTCATTTAAAGCAGCAAGTTGGAGTTCCCCAAGGCTTGAGGTTGTGTCCGGAGGTGTGAGGACGCAGTAGCCACTGTTGTGGGCAAGCTGTTTTCAGATTCTTACCCTGACATTCGTCACTCTGAAATACAAATTACTATTTGTAACCTTATTTTCACATTTTTGTTTTCACGGGCATAAGAATTTTTCAGTGTGCTTTTGCCTAAGATCCGCCGCTTTTAAGCTAAAGTGGTCCAATGCATAACTCTTAAAATTGTGTTTTCCATTTGGAACAGCGTTATTTTTTACATTAAAATCTATATTTGCTCAAATTAATAAGAAATCATTGTTTTTAGTTGTGTTATTTCGTTAGATGTAATTTTGGTTTCTTTCATCGAAATTCATAAAACAAAATTGAAAACCCGAACCGTAAACGAGTGTGCAGAAAATTTCACATGCTAAACTTCTTTTGAAAATACAAGGTCTAGGATGAGAAACAAAATATAATAGTACAGTAATTTTGTCTTCCTTACAAATGAATCTGACGTATTTTCCCTTTATTACTGACTTGTCTTAATTGTCGTGAACCCTTCTCCTCTTTACTTGTGCTAATATATTTTAATTAGGTTTAGAAGCTTGTTAGACAAAATTTACAAAATTATCTTTAAGAAATGTTCAAGGAGACATCAAAATTATTTTTATACTTGTAGTAGTATTCTTAAACCCATAATTTTAATGTATATTAAGTTTCTCATTCTAATTATTTTATGTTAATATTTTAATCCTATTTTTTTGTTTTACAGGCAGTAATAGTGTAAAAAACTCTACTCCACGTGTATGAGTTCCCTAGGGAAAATCTCAGGCTTGATAATTGGCCTAAAGGACTCCATGGGTCCTTTGCACGTTACACATTTCAAAAATTTATGGCTTGCCATCAAATGAAACTTTCACGATTTTTAACATTAACATAGTCTGTTTTAAAACAAAAAAAAAAACTAACTTCTGTGCACAATGCCCTTGTGATACGGAAAACATTTAAGATAAATTTTCCTCTTATTACCCTCTACATAGAAATGTATTAAAATTTGTGTGTTTGCATTAGTTTTTATACATTGTTGTGTGATAATCACAAAGACGTCTAGAAAGGCTGTTATTCATGTTTCCTATGCCATCCCCTGTAGAAGAGTAATTAAGGTTGTGGCGAAATCTGAAATATCCTTTATCCTTTATGTTGTATATCGGGTTTGTTTTATTATTCTGATTTTCATTCATTTCAGAAATGCATTTGACCTTATACAAAACAGCTCGTAATATGAGCGAGGAAGCGCAACAATGCCTCTCGACTGAAGTTCGTCAAAGCAGCTCAAAGATAATATGCCATGAACGAAAGGCTGAATGAAGTATGGTTTCAGTTGTCAAATTCAATGCATGACGTCTACTACATTGTTATTAGTTACATACATGTTATAAAATGTATTAATTTTATTAGGCCACATTAAACGTTGTTGTTATTAATGATCATCCTTCATGCACAATATCCTATAGAATTGAGTAATATTTGAAAAATATAATTAAAACCTTTAAGCAATTTCGATTTGAACACTAGAGTTCATTTTAGAAATTAGTATAAAAATAACTCGATAACTATGCAGTCAGTAAATACCACTGAAACGAAAGTGTGGGTATCTTGTTTATTTAATTTCTTCTAGTGAAATTTCAATACAATTTAGTATGTCAATTTTAAAAAATATCTATTACAGTACACCGGTTGCGGTATCTGCATTTCTTTAATATGAACTTAAAAATGAAAAAAATTACATTTATAGATGAGAACAACATGACATCGTGTTCAGTAATTTCAAGAAATTGTTCTTCAGCGACATTTTAATTTGTTGTAGTGAATTTCGTTAAAGATAAATTATTTTATTTATTATTAATTAGCAAATAGATGGGAACCAGAAGATAATTTCATAAAACCGAATCTTTAATTATTCTTCAAAAAAAGTTATAACGACTTTAAAAAATGGTTTTCCCTGCTTTTTCTTTGGTATTGAGTATAGTGTAATGATGTAAACATATTGTATAAGAACTGGAGCTTACCTTTAAATTCACTCGCAACCTGTAAATGAAGGGTATTCCTGACGCAAAACAGAAATTGACCAATTGCGTTGCAAATATACTTTTTAATAAAAAATGAGTACAAATTGACAATGGCATATAAAATTGGCTATCAATGCGTGATGATTTCAGCATGTTTTTAAAGGTTCAAACAATTGTGATTACATTACGTTGTGTAATGGCGTAGCAAAAGGGCACTTATTATTACTAATATGAACATTCCAAAGAGGCATAAATTCTGGTTAAAGTAGGGGTGCAAAAGAGCATTAAAAAGGGAAAGTAACCATTTAAAAGGATTTATCGTAAAAAATTAATGATTAAAATTATTCATAATTTTAATCTAGCTCTAAAATTTAAATTATTTTTTAAAATATATTAAAAGTTAAAAAGGTATAAAAATAAATTCTATCATTTTGCAATATTTATTTTGTTTGAAAATGTTCGATTTGCGTACATTAAGGCTGGGTACGAACGCAAACAAGGACAGATTAGCTCGCAGGGTAAATCGGCGGAGAGAAGTGGGCATTGTACAAGAGAGATCGACTCAAGAGGCTCAGAGCATCAATTGATGTCACTGCAGTGCCTTTGACGGGGTTGCCCCAGGTTTAAAGTCGCGACGCTGGCAGGATTTTCATCACTAACTAGGTAGCTAGGCCGAATTCTTGCGACCAGCTTCTCTGATAGATAGTTTTCCGTGGTTTCTTCTATCAATACCTGGCTAATGCTGGCGTAGTACCCTAAGAAACGGGCCACGGACCGCGCACAATCTTTCCTTTCTGGTCCTATACTCGCCCTTACTTACTTACTTACTTACTTACTTACACCCACACACCCTTTTATGCACTAAGCTATCACACTTGTCGGAAGACCAGTACGGAGCTTAGAGCTTGTCCCGTCTGGAGCGATGCTCTGTTGGCACCTTGTTGGGAAAACCCTGACAAGCCGATGTGCAGGTTGACATCGGAATTAGTCATTCAGCGGGATCAGATCTCC